GATGCCAAGAAATCTGCTCAGCGACAGAGGAAAAGTCTTTCAATCAGAATTAGTAAGGGAATTAGGAAAGTTAATGGGAGTAAGAAGCCAATTTACAACCGCATACCATCCTTGTTGTAATGGTCTCACTGAAAGGCTAAATAAGACAATAGCTGACATGTTATCCATGTATTGTAACACACAGCAAACGGACTGGTGTAGCTATCTATCATTTATAACATTTGCGTATAATACAGCAATACAGGACACAACGAGATTTAGCCCATTTATGTTAACATATGCAAGGGAACCCACACGACCAGCAGAAGCTGCATTGTTGGACGCTGACAACGAAACGGACGCTCTGCAAATTAGAGAAAAGGCACTCTTAATAAGAGCCATAGCAGTGGAAAATATACAGAAAAGACAAGGGAAAGATAAAGGGCGTTTTGATGAAAGACATAGAGAATTGGACTTTGAAGCTGGAGACAAAGTTAAAGTATTTATCCCAATCAGAAAGGTTGGAAGAAGTGAAAAGTTACTCTTAAGATGGTTTGGACCATACAAAGTAATTAGAAAAATGGGAGAAGTGAATTACGAGGTACAAAAGATTGGAAGCAGAAAAAAGGATACGGTCCACGTGAGTAGGATGTTACCCTACTACGATCCATGGACAGAAGCTGCGCCTATTGAAGAAAGGGTAGATGAGACAGATATAGCTGAAAACGCAGAATCTTAAGTTGATGAGGATGAAGGAGACGAAGAAAAAATTGAAGAAGAAATTGGAATCAGTGAAGCAGAAAACGAGGAAGAAGAAGACTGACTGTACAGATAAAACATAAGCAAAAACTATAGAGTAGGAAAATAGAAATAGGATAGAAAAAATAGGGTAAAACATTAGCTAGGGAGTATAAGATAATCGCCAGAGAAAAAATGGAGAGGAATGACAGCTCAATATAAGAGGAAACTAGTGGATGACCTCATAATTCTAGGGGAAGATAGGGAATATGAATTAATGAAAGAAGAAGAATCAGAAATATTCTTATCGACGGAAGAAGCCTCCGAACGGATTTTAGAAAAGTACGAGCTACAAAAAGAAGGCATATGGGTATAACAAAAAACAAGTTCGACTAAACTTACCTGTTGGAGCCATGATCAACAAATAACCAAATTATGAAATTTGGTGGCCCGATTGTGGGTCATAATTATTAAACTATGTAATTATAAGAATAAGCACATTTTTAAAAATAATATTTTGTTTTTTGCATGTATATACAAAACTACCAACCAGGGACGGACTACAACCCAAGCAGCACTCCCATGTTGGGCCAATATTGGGACAATAACTATGATTTATTGGCCCAAGTCAGATTCTCTATGTTGGCTCAATAAAAGATGTGGACATTCTGCAATATTTCCAGGAACGTATGTCAATATATACCCAAAAACAAATACCAACGTTGGTACAATAACGTAACCAAATGTTGGCCCAAAAAGAAATAATCAATATCATATCAAGAACTTTATGCAATATAGAGCCAATTGAAATTACCAATATTGGCCCGAAGACGTATGTAAATCTTGGCTTTATATTATATTTAATTAAGGTAACGGACCAATTATAAGGACCGACTAAGAAATGTTTTCTCTCTGCCGGACCATCCGTGGACCCGTTTCGCTGTATCACAACTCATCAGGACGGTTAAGTTCCGCCAGGGTCCCGTAGAGAGAAAGCAACCAATTTTTGGCTTCATCCCGGAACCAGGTTTAAGACAGGTTAAGTGAAGATAGTCTCCATCTATTTTTTGGTCGGCACACCAAGTGCGCACATTAAAACCCTATATTGGACCAACATTTTCAATTCAGAAAATCTAACCTTGGTAAAAATTAGTATGTAAATATTGGCCCTTCTTTGGGTTTTTCAAAAAGTATCAATATTGTGAAAAAATTGAAAAAAAATATTGGGTGTACAAAGTTTTTGAAGTGAATTTAAATATCAATAAAAAATTGAATGCCAATATTGAATTAATATTATATTACAATATTGTTTCGATAATATAAAATGTAATATTTGGCCAATATTTCATAAATCAATATTGTAGTGAGAAGTCTTGGGCCAATATTCAAATTACTGAAAAGTTAATTAATCTATGAAAACAATATTGGTACAAGATTATTTTTAAATATTGTTTCCACATAGTTAAAACTAACGTTGCCCAAATATTGGTTCTGTGTTGATTTAGCAACAAAAATGAATAAATATTGGTCCAACTGAAAAACGATGTTTACCCCATATTATGTGCTACTTGGGAAAACAAATTCGAGGGAAGGCATTGTAATAGAAGGACCTAGCTCTGGACTGCGAGCAGGGGCTAGGAACTTCAAACCAGAAGAAACAAATGGTATGGACCAATTAACAAGAAAGAAGCACAACAAACCAGGAAACGACACTTAGACCATGGTACCGTTAACACCCCACGATCTAGCTGACCCACCAAGAAGTATTTGGAACAGACCCACAATACAGAAAACAGGACCGGACCAAAAGAAAAAACCCATGGCTGAAGCGGTGAAGTTGATGAAATTTCTTAGTTGTAAGATAATTTTTTTTTTTTTGTAGTAACCTGAATAATAATGCACCCTCACCCATCCCACCATAAAAAACTTTTGTTAATTTTTAATTTTTTTTTTTTTCTCTATACGCGATATTTGAATTATATAATTGTAAGCATCAGGGGTATTTTATAATTAGGCTATTATTGTAAAGAAGGGATATTTTTAGGATAAGGATATTATTGTATTTTTTTTTGACATTATTATGGTATTTGTATAAATTTTGTTGTAAGTGTCTCTTCCAAGCATTGGGGTCCAATGCTTCATGGAGGGGGGGCATATGTCAACTAGCTGCTTGAGAAAGGAGGACCCGGTATTCAACCTTATTAATTTAATTGCCGATTCGATCAAATGTTTATTGCAATTCAGCAATAAATTGATATAAATTGTGCTGCAAGCCGCAGCAAAGGCAGACTTAAACCAGTGCAAGTACTTCTCGTTGGAAAAGCCCCTCTGGGTATCTTCAGCCTTAGCGTTGTCCAGTGCAATTACCTCTCGTTGGGAACGCCCCTCTGGACAAGGCATAAGGGTGACGATAAACTACCCTACAGTCCCCCAAGCAGCATTGACGTGTGGCCCCCTATAGGGACCCCAGTGTACGAAGGGCAGGGTTGCCAGATGGTTATAACTAATTTCCCCCAAAGGATTTCAAAAATACCCCAAAAATCACTGTTTGTCAACTAAAATCCCCCAAATAAATATAGATTTATTCTCGACTCATACTTGCAAAAAAAAAAGACAAATTCGTTGAATATTTCAAAATAAAACTCATACCCTTACCACTTTTTTATTTGTTTATATTTTTCTAATCCCAAAAATAAAATGACAATTGACAAATGACAAATGAAATGAAATGTTGTGACTGGTGACAGAACAGATAAGTACAGTTAGTTGTACCAAGAAGTTTGGAAAGTTTAAAAAATAATCTCAAAACCACACCAAACGCTTTTGTTGCATACTGCCATAGCAGCCATGTTGGCTTTTTGTGCTTTGGAGGGATTTCATGCCCTTATTCGTTTTATCTAAAAAAAATCCGCAAAAAATCCTCTGAATTACAAAATCCGAAAAAAATCCGATCGTCCAAAAAAAATACGCAAATCGGATTAAAATCCGTCCATTGGCAACACTGGAGAAGAAGCAAACTGTATCTTTTTATTGGTACTAGATTGAAAAAATAGATGGCGCAGTTGTTTTAATACATTTTTTACTTTAGTTTTATTCATTGAAATATACCCGATTTCCCCCAATAGCGAAAATTCTTACCCCCAAAAAATCCCCCAGAAAAAACTATCCCCCAGATTTTCCCCCATCTACTTGAAAATCCCCCAAATTTGGGGGAAAATCCCCCAATCTGGTAACACTGACGAAGGGTCATGTATCTTATAGGGTTAGCTTACATGTAAGGTTATATTTGGAAAAATATATATCTATATTTTTATATAACCTGAGCGAGTTTCTCTCCATCAACCCCCAAAGCTACAAACCCCCCATGTCACCCCCGTAAAGCGGGCAGTTGTGACAATAGTCTAAACTTGGCTGAAACAACTACTACATTCTGAATCATCCCTTTTTTCATCCCTATAAATTGTTCAATGTGTTCCACATGGATTTGCTTGAATTTCTCAATATCTCAATAATGCTGTCATCAGTTTAGTTCTTATATCAATTTCCCAAGTCTATATATACCTACAACCTCATCATATGTGAGCTACTTCTTATTCAAACTCTCTCCAAAAAAAGCTGCTGTCTAATCATTTCCAGCTCTATCTGGAAAAATTTCTCTTTTTCTGCTGATCTGAGCTAATACCTACTACAATATCCCTTGTCTATTATGACTGAAAATCAAGTTTCCTGAACCAAGCAAATAAATTTGGAAGAATTTTTCTCGACTGTTTGAATGAATCTCCGATACTCTACTGTAGATAAAATGCATACCTACCTCTCCTCTCTCGAGAGTTAAGGAAGGGCCTATAAATATACAGAGTGGCAAAAGAAAAACAAGCAACAAGCATAATCCTAACCTGTCTGTAACTTTTTAATTACCTCATATACCAAAAACCAAAAACCAACTTAATAAAAGTTGTTCAGTAAACTGAGTCCACATTTTTTCTGTCAATTCTGGTTCGCTGGCCATCCAGACCAACTTTGTTTTGATTTTGGATGCAACAACCTGGGTAGTTAAAAAGTTACAGGTATTATGCGCGACTTTTTTGGCAGTCTGTATATCTTTTTCTTTAGCTGTGCATTGAAGTTCTTCAATCCTACGATTAGAAAAATCCAAATCTTGAATTCTATTAAATAGAACAGCAGAAAAAGGTTATTTCTCCTACCACTGACCAAGTTCATTGCTAGAAAAACACTAGAGGATTTTTAACACTTTGTAGGATACTTCAAAAAGACACATAAGATATATTTTAGACACATTTTTATTGACCTTTTCAGCATAAATATCCAAAAAAATAAGGAAACATTTGCACTTTTCATCTGCCTATTTATTATATACACATTTTAGTTGATAGAACAATATTTTTGTGCTGGCAATAAAATCTTCAAAAAAAAAAAATACATAAATAACAAATTTAATTTTTTTTTCAATAAGATCTATTCAAATTGACCAATAAAAAAAATATACTTAGTTTCACAGTCTCAAAAAAAAAAATAGAAATATGTAACTTATCCTTACGAAGAATCAAATTCAAACCTCAGCTAGGAATGGAAGTTCTGAGTTTGAAATGAGATTTAAATTTGAAAAAACTACAATAAATATCAATATACGAAAATTAGTAAAAAAAACACAACTTTGTTTAAACATCTTCCTATCACACTTTGAAGGAGAGAGACATTGCAGAGGTTCATTCATCACTTACATAAAGAAAAGACAAATGAACCTGCAAGTGACCACTTTAAAAGTTATTTTTACAAAATTTACTTCCCAAATGGGTACTTAATATTTTTTTTTATTAAGTAAAAATGTCCTTAAATATATTTTTTTTATAGTTCATCTTTAGCATTCTCTCCAAGTTCTACTTCGGGACCTTCGGGTTCTTCGGCCGCTGCTCCCTCTACACCGCCAGATTCTACGAATTTGACCAGAGCTTCGAACGTCCTTGGGCCATTGTAGTCTACAACTTCGTTCGTTTCTTTTTTGAAGAATTTCAAAGTTGGGAAACCTGTGATTTTGATTGTTTCCAATTCGTTGGCTGTGGAATCGATTTTAGCGATTACCACATCTTTGTCTTCTGCAAAATGTTCTGCAACCTGAAAAAGAATAGACCGTTAGATTGCATGTTATATTTCTTGTCCAGAAAGGAGTTGGAGTGTTGACAATGATTTAGAGAAGTTTTTCATGGAAAAAGTCCCTTGTAACAACCAAGTGAAAAAAAAACCATTACAATAAATTAAATAATCAAAAAACTTACTTTATCGTAAATAGGAACCAATTGCTTGCAATGTCCACACCATGGAGCATAAAATTCAACAAGTACATTTTTCTCGGTATTAAGAGCCACACTTTCAAAGTTATCGGCTACCAAAACTTTGACGGGTTCCTTGTCCCAATCCTCAGGTACTTCTTGGCTGAGCAAGTGTTGTTTCAAGTTGCCATCCAAAAAGTCTTGAACGAACTTTTGTAAAACTTCGGCAGTCAATTCGTCACTTTCGGGTTTGAATTTGGACATGTCCTCTTCCAATTTGATTATTCTCGCGGCTGGCACTTGGCTCTTCTTCATGCCGAAGAATTCCAAAATTCTTTGGTGGTCTTCTTCTGTTGCATCGATGGTAACAAACAGTACTTGTTCTCTGAACGGTTTGGCAACACTGCGAGCAGCTTCAGTAACTTTTTCATATGATTCTTCGCCTTTGTTCAAGAACAACAGCAAGTGAGATTTGATTTCACCTCCAAAGATCTTTTGAGCGGTTTCGTGGTTGAATTCGACCAACAAGGGTAAAGAGTTGGATTGGATGAATTTTTTAAGTTCAGTCTCAGAAGCTTCGCCATCGTAAACAACTTGTCCTTCATCGAACTTTTTGAAAAGTAGAACAGTTCCGTCTTGAACTTCGTAGTTGCTGAATACATCGTCGCTTGATGTGATGGCGAAAGGAATGTCGTCAACTGCACTGGCAACAGCCAAAAAGGCTTTGGCCAAGTCGCTGGATTGGTCTTTGAAGAAACCAATAACGGCTACGTTTGATTCTTCTATGAAAGTCTTGGCATCTTCTACAGATGCTAAGTCTCTGGCTGGTGGACCAGTTTTTTTGATGAGCCAGTTGACAATGTCATCAGCTTGTCTGCCACCTAAATGAAGAATAATTTCTTTATTTAGTACATTTGAAGTGCAAGAATGTATTATTAAATTTTCAGCAAAAACATATTGATGTTGACTGGTGAATAAATAAATAGATAGTCCTGGATAATAATTATTATTGACCCAAAAGTTCAGAGGATTTTAACTGAATAGGTTTGAAAGATGAGTGAGTAGATAATGTTAGATATTTTATGTACTCCAGCAGGCAATAGAAACGAATGCCAGCTATTAATAAAATCTTAAAGTATGGCTATTATAAGCAAAACAGCAATACAATATAAAGAGTCTTTCAGTTTTACATTTGCATAATCAAGGTGTGCAAATAAACTGAAAGATACTTAATTCAATTTATATCCAATAAGAAAAAAATATGTGACAACAAAGCAGTTTATAATTAAGGTTGAAAAATGTCAAGTTCAAGGTAGAGAAATGTGGAAATACTTGGCATTGACAAAATTATCTGAAACTAACAACCTGCTTTAAAACAAAAGAAAACAACATAAACAGATATAAAATTGATTATTTATGACCGATAAGATAAAATGATATATATTTTTGGGTGCTTGATGATAACTAAATCCAGTGGATTTTGTGAAAATAATCACTTGAACCACTTGACAAATATCATAAAACTAAGAAGCTGAAATGCCTATCTATTTCCACCATTCACTGGTACATTTTTATCAGCATGTTCACTTTGTATTCGCATAATGGTAATACATAATAATAATAACTTTATTTAAAACTGTTTCATTAGATACATACAAGTATTAATACTCTTAAGTCTAATATAAAAACAGTCCAATAATAATGTGAAAAACAGAATTATTCCAGGTTTTTCATCACATTTTCAAAATAATCAGAAATATTTCCATTTCAGCAAGGACTTATTCAATAATTTCAATATTATTATACCCATAATTGATGAATCATCACTGAAAAATGTACATATAAAAAGGGATACAGGGTTAATGTAAACTTTGGTTATGTAAACTTGTTTCTTTTCTTATTTATGACTATAAAAAAAGGTCCCGTGAATCATCATTCTGCAGACCGCAGTAGACTATTTACCGTTGTGGAAGAATGAGCTATCAAAAAAATAATGAAAGATTTCGAGTTGAGTAGGTTATTATTTTTCACCGGATTTCTCAATTGATTAGTGTACCGACAAATTGATGTAACCGGCTCTTGGACTGCCGATATTTCAACAACTAAATGCAAAATAAGGAAGGAATCTCAGAAATCTGTCTACAACATTGGGTGTATGGTGTATGAAGGGCTGAATAATGAATTTAATGATAAGTAAGTTTTGATAGGTGTGATACAGGACCAAAAACGTTGGTAAGCTACTTATTCTCAATCTCAATGGGTGAGTTTATTGTATTAAGTATTTCATGTTCTATATATTGCGATTACCATGTTAGCATATTTTCCGAAAGCACATTATTCACAAATGTTACAATGTAAAAATTCATTATCAAACAAGAATAAAAATTCTAGAAAGGCGCCCTAGAATTTTCATTCTATTTTTATTAATGAATTAAAAATAATCGGAATGGAGAGGCTTCTTTATAAATATTTTAAAATGGACAAAGGTCCATTGCTTTATTGTTTCTAGTATAAGAAGGTTGGTTCTTGTTTAAAGGAGATTATTCCACAAGAGGACCAGTGCAAATATGGTTTTTTTTGTCTCTAGTTTAGGTCGTTTAGGTTGATATATCATCCTCCTGGATCGGCTGCTGAATTTAGGCCTCCTCAAATTGTTTCCAGGTCTTCCTTTTTTATTCTAAGCAATCCATTCCAGTTCGTCTTGATTTTTTCCCAGCTAGGTCATCCTTCTATCAGGTAGGAAGTTTTCGCAGTTTTCTGGACCTCCGCACCCTTTAAACTAGCAAAATGTTTGGGTTAGTTTGTAAGCTGGCTTTCGCTCTGGAAACAGGACAAAATGACCACTTTCAATGCCTAAAAACTCTTTGTTGGTAGTTACAGAGAATTCAAATGGACAGATGAGGTTTCATGGGTCAGAAGCAAGTGTGTCTAAGAAGGTAAATTCAACTCGTATTGCTATACAAGAAGTTATTTGGTAACTCCTACTTCAGATTTTTACTATTTTTGAATCGCGATGTTTTTTGATAAAAAAAATACTATAATACCGGACTTCTTCAGGAGCTATGATCTTCAACTATGCCCTTCAGGCACGTCACAGGTCCTAGACAGTCCATTTATGCACTTATCATCAACCTTTCAGACGAATTACTTTCTGTTTTTTTCTTTAGGTGTGAACTACTAGAAATTTGGTAAGCTAATTCTAGTTGGGTAAGTTTAGTATTGGCATTTGACTGTTACTATTTTCAATGACTCTCTCTTTCTTTAAATGATTTATCTATTTTTTACTAATGGTAATTGCGTTTCACTGATATCCAGGACAGCAACTCATGGTTTGAAGAAGATGATTCCAAAAGAGGAACAGTGCAAATAGTATGTTTTTTTGTGTGTTTATTTTAGGTTGGAATCATCATATATCATCATCACGAAGCCTCCTGGGTCTACTACTGAAGGTAGACTTCTTCAAGTATTATTTCCAGGTCTTCCTTTTCTAGGCAGTTGCAATCTGATTTGTCTTGATTCTTTCCAGCTCGTTCATCATGCCATCAGGTAGATAGTTTTCGCAGTTTCCTGGACCATCTGCACGCCTCAATTTAGCAACATGTTTGGCCCACAAATGACCACCTTTAATGCCTAAGAACCTTTGGTGGCTATTTTTAGAAAATTCAAATGAACAAAGGTTTTATGGTTCAGATGCTGGTTTGTCTATAAAAAGGTAATTTCCAAACTTCAACATAATTTTTCAAGAAGTTATTTGGAAACTTCTGCTTTAGATATGATTACTATTTTTTAACCTGGTAAGTTTTTTGATTAAAAAAATACAAGATACAAGAAAAAAATCACCTTTTTAACAGACTTTTCCATGAGCTATGATCCTAACTGCCCTTCAGGCAGACCACAGGTCCTAGAGAAGGCCATGTATGCTTTCATCAACCTTCCACAGGAATTACATTTTGTTTTTTCTTTTTCAGGTGTGACAGGTACAGGAACCAGAACTTCGGTAAGCTACTTCTGGTTGGGGAAATGTGACTTTGAGCATTTGGCTGTAAATATTTTCAATAACTCTCTTTTTGAATGATAACCATTTTTTACTAATCGAAATTGCGTTTCATTGATATCCAGGACAACAATTCATGGTTTAATTATTTCTTTTTGGTATTTGGTGTCCCCTGGGGAGGCCGTTCGCCATAATAGGTTAGGATCCCATTTGTTACACCGATTATACTACTTAAGGTAAGTGTAGCAGTGGGGCATGGCAAAACACCAGTATTTCATTATACTACTTAAGGTAAGTGTAGCAGTGGGGCATGGCAAAACACCAGTATTTCTTATATTCTCCACACAAAAGTCGCAAAAAAATTAATCTTTCAACGCTCATATCTCAAAGACCGTAATACCTACAAGATTTCGTCCCATTTAAAAGTTGTTAACGAGTTAAATCCTCTACAACAACATATCAAAAAATGGGCAAAATCCATAGAGCCCAAACATCCCATGTTAGTTGTGCGTTATCCTCTGTTCGGAAAGTTTGCAAATCGCATCTGTGGTGCTCAGACCATTAGTAAAGCCGAATTGATGTTGTGATAAAATACTGTTTTGTTGTAAGAAACTCATCAAAAGATCCTTGACACTTTTCAGATATTTTTGCGAAGGTGTTAATAACACTGATAGGGCGATATTTGCTTATATTAGAGGTGTCAGAAAAGTAACTATTCGTTACTCGAGTACTCGTTACTTACCCGGATCCGAAATAACGAATACAAAAATCGCCGGCGCCATAGTTATTTGAGTACTCGAATCGAAATTCTCTATGCGCATTGCGCACCAAGCTCGCATTTTGAAAGTGCAGTGCGCCAAAAAATTTAGAGAATTTTGGGTTAATTTATTTGTATTTGTTTGTTGTTTGTACCAAATAATATTATAATAAATATTATTATCATCATACATATTTTTGTTTATTCAACCTTCGACCAGATTCATGGCCGTTTCCACCAACCATTTTAGGGGAGCCCTAACGATAAGTATTCCCTAAAATGAAATTTTTACATGGAGAAATGTCAGTTTAAGGCATACCTATCGTTAGGGCTTCCCTAAATTAGTTGGTGAAAATGGCCATCAATAATATATTCCAGTCAGAACGAGTATTTGAGTAACGAATATTTAGTAACGAGTACATTACTAAAAAGTAACGAATAGTTATGAGTTAGTCAAAAGTAATTGTATTTTACATCTCTAGCTTATATCTGCTCTGTCTCAAGAATTATGAATGGGGCTAACCACCGCAGTTTTAAATTATTTGGAACTTTACCAGTAGGAAATATTAAATTTATTATATGAACCAAGGGTGTAGTCTCGGGTGTAGTTAAGTGCCTATGGAAAAATTTTGTTATCTTTGAGTTGATTCCATTATTTCCAATAAGTCCGTTGAAAGAAGAAGAAAGTGCAGTTGATTCAGCTGCCAATTTTAAGCTGTACTATTTATCAGGGTTTTTTTTCTAAGAAGTTATAACTTATAACCCGTATTTATTATATTGCTTTGCCCTTATCCCTGTGGTATTTTGAGGTAGACATATGTTTGATTTAAACCTAATTATTATTTAAATATTTTAGGCAATAAAATAGTTTCTTTGCAAATAAAGACAAGCACTATTGTTATCCTTAGTTTTACCACAGTTTCTAATTATTGGACATTCAGTCACTCTCTTATAATTTCAAAATCTAAATCTGTAAACAAATTAATATACTCACCACTGTATTCAACAGGGTTGCCGTTCTTGAAGAACTTCAATGTAGGATACCCACGGACTGAAAACTGTTCGGCCAGTTCCTGCTCTTCAGTGGCATCGACTTTACCTAATTTAATTGAGAACTCTTTTTCCACCAAAGATTTGGCGGCCTTTTCATATTCGGGAGCGAGGGCTTTGCAGTGTCCACACCAAGGAGCATCTGAAAATTAAAAAAGGTTTTGTTTATAGATTTTATGTTTGGTGCATTATAATAAGATAATGACACTTTATAATTTTCTTCACATGAATTATTATCTCTGTGAATAATGGTATACATTGTAAATGATCTAATTTGGAATCAACCAAAGCATAGAATAACTATTAACGTTGGCAGAAAATGGGTCCTATATACGACTTGAATAACCTGATATTAATTCTAGTATTTTTTTTATTATTTCGGGATTCTCTCTGGTCCTGTGAGGGCCCGAGAAAAATGTTTATTCATGCAGTGATTATTAATTTTTAGGCGGCATGTCTAGTGATATCAAGTCCTTTGCCCCATTATTGAAATTTAAATTGTGCCCTTATCACTGACGCATTTCCAACAGTCTATCTGCACCTCATTAAAAAAATGTTATCTCTTAGCAATAATTATTAACCATTAGCGCTGAAAATACATATCTAGGCATTTTACCTTTAATATGGAAATTTGAAAATAAAGCCAGGTTTGTCAACAATTTTTTTTCCATAAAATTAAAAGGAATTGTTATTCTGTCTGGCTTTAGAAAAAAATTACGTTGTATCTACCTAATAAATAGTTCTCCATATCAAAATAAAAAAGCAGGAATCAATTATTGTGTCATAGACTATATTATTGATCTTATAGGCTTTTTCCAATGTTTCCCTTTTTTGATTTTATAAATTTTAGAACAATAATAATTGTTTTGCATCATAAATATTGATTCTTAATTGTCAGTTATTTAATTTGTTATTTTTGTACTGATGAAGTATTTAAAAAAAAAGCGAAACGTCAATCTAAAGAATTAAATTTGAATAAAAATAACTGTAATTAATATTGATCTATGTATTATAGAACGGTAACACAACCATTCAATGATCAAACAACCAGTAACCAGCAGATTTATGTGAATGCCCGCAGGCAGCAGAAGTCAGCTACGTCACAATTTGTAAATGTTAAATAGAAGAAGGATTGAAATTTCAATGTAGAAACGTGGTGCCTCGATCAAAAGGTCAAAAAACTTTCGTTTAAACAAGTCAGTAGTAGAAGATCCTCGCTTTAATTTAAAAACGGGAAATTTGAGGATTTTTTTGCTGACGTGACGAATGAACCAAACTAAAATTAATAGACGATTATTAATGTTTTATTAGGCTTAACAATAACCTAAACCTAGACGAGTAATTACATTAATAATGACAGACATAGGTCATTATAGGTCCAAAATCCTACTAATCCGGGCGGTAAATTACCAAGTTAATTATTGGCGCAGTGTGGGAGTGGGTTTAGGGCATTATAAAATACCAATTTAAGTAGAAGATTGTTCAACTGGTTAACTAGCAGGGATTATGAGCCCTAATAAGGGTTAGTTTTATTATTAGTCTTCCTTGATTGATTTAAATTACACTTATTTCTACTACATGCCTTTTCTTTACGACTGATTGAATATTCTAGTGAAATTATCAATATAAAAAGCCTACTAATTTTAAGTGTGTGTAATTTTGTTTTGTTCATATCAATAGTAAGCTCGATAGTAAGTATGTGTCACAATCTCGGTCACAATATATTAGTGATAACTACACCTGTAACTACAGCACTAGTAATTATTGTAAATCTTTTTTTAAATACAACCTTCCGTAACAATAGTTTTGGACAACATTTGGCAAATTATTTGGGTCCAAAACTCTATAATAGGATACCCGAGAGGATACCATTGCAAATAAAAAACCAATGCTCATCATTTGGTCAGATGGAAACTCTGTGTTCAACAATAAATACTGGATTGTCTGATCATGAAGAAATATCCTGTTCATTTTCAGTCAATTCCACTAAACCAAGAAAAATCTTTCACAGAAAAATTTTGGGTGCAATCAAACGGACTGGAATAGAATATCTTCAACTGAAGACTCTTTGGAACACTTTTATCTACTTTTAGGCAATAACTTAAACACTTCTTTTCCTATTGTCAAGATAAAGCATAGGAGGCTCAATCTATGGTACACAAGAGGGCAGGGGCCTGAGAACATCGGCTGCTAACTTAAGATCTATGCAATATGTATATCAAAATGAAACTTTTATCAATTATTATAAAATAAAAATATACTTTAAAACCAGAAGGGGGGTTAACGTGGCAAAAAGGTTGTACTATGGGAATCAAATTGAACCGTCTTGCAATAAAAATAGAGAATTATGGAAACTTGTGAATTGGTTTAGTTTAGAGGTAGAAATTCGTGCATGGTTTCCTCAAATCTCAGAGCAAATGATTTGAATAATTTTTACTTTAGCATAGCTCATGATATATCTAGTAAACTTACATCCTATATAATAAAGAACCTTCAGACTATCTAAGCAATATATTTGTATCCGAGACGTTTTTCCTCTATCCAGCATCATTTGTGGAGATTAAAGATATCTTTTAAGGATTGAAAAATAAGAACTCTTGGATATATTTCGCTGAGGATAGTCGAGGAGGCGCTCCCAGACTTGGTTTTGGATGCACTGGCTGGATCTATCGATGATTTCTTTGCAACCGGATAATTTCCAAATTGTTTTAAAAGGGCCCATTGTTCAACAGGATCGCAACCTACCTTCTAATCTTTGACTCATTGCACTACTTCCTACCCTACCCTACCCTACCATCTCTAAGTGATAAGTACACCTCCATTAACATGTTCGCTGCCAAGTACGAGTTAACTCGTAGTAGTCAATCTTATTACAGGTGCCAGCTATGAGATGACTCGTATTTTGCATTGTGTCATTCAAAGTCAAATACGAGTATATTCGTTGTAAATACAGGTTAATGGGGGTGCCTGGCCTACGGGACATGTATAAGAATATCACACAGACATGATTGTATATTTAACAAGATACATTCATTGAAGAATGGATTGGGTTGTGGTCCAGATGACATCCCAGTATTGTTTGTTAAGAATTGTAGTTGTATTCTTTCAGAGATATTATGTAAAATATTCAATAAGGCTTCAGAGTTGGGATGGTTTCCTGATATGTGGAAATTAAGCTATATAACTCCTGTGTTTAAAAGTGGAGAAAGAAATAATATTAAAAACTATAGGGCCATATCCAAAATGTCTATTTTTTCTAAGGTATTTGAGTCTATAATAACGGATTTTCTTACACCAATTTTGAAACATGTTATTGTACCAGAACAGCATGGCTTTATTAGGGGTAGATCTACATTGACTAATGTTCTGGTCTATGAGGAGGCTCTGTTGGAGGGGTTGGAGAATAAGTGTCAGATTGACTCGGTCTACACTAACTTCTCCAAGGCCTTTGACAGGGTTGACCATAAGATACTATTGGAGAAGGTGGCCGATGTGGGGCTGCATGGAGGTCTATTGAGCTTGATTGGAAGTCTTCTCACAGGTAGAAAACAGGCTGTAAAAATTGAGAATTACATCTCTTCAGTATTTTCGGTGACCTCGGGGGTGCCTCAGGGAGGACACCGGTCTCCTTTGCTTTTTAGTATATTTATTAATGATCTGTCAGGTGTCTTCAGAAATTCCGATTTTTTGCTCTTGGCTGATGACTTGAAGTGTTTTATGGTTGTTCGGGATGTCAGGGATGCTCAATTATTGCAAGTGGACTTGGATATGTTTCGGACTTGGTGTCAAAGAAACAAACTCCCCTTAAATGTTGAGAAGTGTAAGATTATTACTTTTTCTCGGAAAAAAACACCATACTTACATAATTACGTTCTTAATGATTTGGAGATTAACAGGGTTGAAACTATTAGAGACCTGGGAGTCTATATCAACACTAATGTAAGCTTCACAGAGCACATTGAAATAACTGCTAATAAATCAATGAAATTACTAGGCTTTATGTTCAGGTCACTAAAAGAATTTACTAATATCTACACCCTAAGAAACATTTATTGTGCAATTGTTAGATCAGTTGTAGAATATGCTTGCCCTGTCTGGTCCCCTTATTATGCTGTGCACATCTCCCACTTGGAACGAATCCAAAAAAGTTTTTAAGATCCATTGCATATCGATTGGGCATCCCAAGTGAATCTATAAATTATAATGAGTTAATGTCTGTCCTAAATCTTGAAAATCTGAACCAGAGGCGACAGTTTTTTGATATGTGTACTTTGTTTAAGATTGTTAATAATTCTATTGATAATCCAGACTTACTTGCTAGAATTGGCTTACATGTACCATCTAGCAATTTAAGAGGAAACACATTGTTTAACCTTGATTTTCGTAGAACCAATTATGGTTACCATTCACCTTTACTTAGAAGCTGTCGTTCTCTGAATGATATTATTTTGAAGACTGATTTGGCTGTTTTTAACATAAGTTTGGATAGATTCAAAAGAATTTTAAAGTCGATCCTAAAATGATCGTTTTTTCTATTTGTATTCAATTTTAAGCGTATTATGTTGTTTGTGTTTTGATACCTACTACAAAATATTTGTTTAGGCTTATGTAATGTTGTTTTTTTATACTAACTTGTCTGTTGCCTACTTGTTATTCCAAATATTTATTATTGCGTGTACCTACACTTTAAGTCTACCTTTGTAAAAATGGCATGTCCGTAAATAAAGAATTTATTTATTTAATTTTATTTATTTATTTACCACTAAAATTTGAATGAAATCGCATTATTAATAACTGAGATATCGGGGTGTATTCATGAAAAGCGGGACACACTATATATGATAATTTTGAAGATCAATCACTCAATAACTGATACAGACACTGGTGACACACAATAATTATAAAATCATTTAGACAACGTTTATTACGACTACAAAAGTCAGAAGCAGGAATTTCCCGCCAATTTCTTTGAATAGTTCTGATTGGTCACCCTTGAAATTCCGCATTTGAACGAGGCTCCGACTTCGCAAAGTTAAGTGATTTCGCGCAATTGCTAGCGATTTCGCAGGATTTCGCAAGGATTGCGCACGATTTCGCAAGGATTGCGCCTGATTTTGCCTGATTTCGCAACGATTGCGCGCGATTTCGCATGATTGCGCGCGATTTCGCATGATTGCACAGGGATTTCGCGCGATTTGTGACAGTATTGCGCAGAGTGGTTTACCCCTCGTTAGGTACCTAACCTATTAAATCGGGCAGAAACTAGATATTTTTTTGTGTTTTTTTGGCACATGTGTGGCTGCCACGCCATCTTGAGTGTCACGTGGTTTGAATTGCCTAATAGGGTAACTCTCCATCTCTACTATCTTTTCGCAGGGACTTAATAATGTATTCTAGAGTAATCTCCGGTAGGGGTTAAAGCAAGAGATTAAGGGCTCCATAAAGGGTTTAAAATATCAAAAAACTCGACAAGAGTTAGGTTTTTATCTTTTTTTTTTCTCAAGATATACCAACCACTACCATTTTTTAACGGAAACTTCAATACTGCCTCAAATTGGTTTAGAAATTGGTTGGGGATCAAGATTGAAAATATCAGAAAACTTGGTAGGTAACATTTTTGTTCTGTTTCTTGAAATTTTAGTATGGTACCACCACCATCTTCCAGTAGGTACTCGAATGAAGCATTCTACTCGGGTTTCTATCATTTTTCTCGAGATTTTGGACGGGGTGCCCATCACTTAATTAAATGTTGAAACGTTCTACATAAATCACCTACAACACAAAACAGAAATTTTAGATTTCCGAAAAAAGTTATTGATTGTTCAAATTTAACCATGCCTGTTGATACTTCTTGACTAAGATTTTTTCAAATTAATTGAGTATTTATTCTAAGTTCAAGTCAAATGCAGGAGCCAGGAAACACCTACACAAAAATACTCAACAATTCCTGAATTGTTTAAATAATGTTTAATGTTTTCTTCTGTCTGGGTTTTACATAAAAGAAGTTTCCAGTTTCTACTCTGCGACAGAATAAGAGAAATGTATGTTTAACATTAACCACATTTCAACAGAAACATACTGCAAAAAAAAAAATTGACGTAGGTAGAGGAAATGATGATGTATTGAAAAAATCTCAATGAAAATCACATATTACATCTAGTTCACCTACAATTTTATAATTAAGAAGAAAAAATGCATACATACAATAGTGCATACGTTTAAAATCAAAGAACATACATGAAAAATATGAAGAAAAAAAAATACTTACAAAATTCTACCAAGAGGAATTCGTGGAGTTTCGTAGCCTCTTCAAAGTTTGCCTTATTCAAGACTAGAACACCTTCTTCGGCTTTGATGTCTTCGGCCTGAGAAAAGGCCCCTAATACGAAAAACGAAGCTAAAACTTGGAAAAAAATCATTTTTCCTGGATAAGTGAACTTCTCTACCCAACAACAACCCGTTATGAAAAGACACGACACGATTGCCGACGATCTGCCGGAATGTCACCAACAAAACATCTTCCTTGACTCTTTTGAGAACTGAGACCACAAGAATTTCAATGTTTTTTGCTCCTAGCTAATTGCATCCTTATCTATTTTATTATTCTAAACAAAGACGCACAAATACCACTGAAGTAAAATGAATATAACAAATGGTAAAATTTTTCTATAATCAGTTCAATATAAAACAATAGCACAAACTATATATATCTTTGTCTAATGCCTGAAATATAGCATGTAGCTTTCTCTCTTCAACCAATAACATTCATGAACCGATTTTAAAATTAATCTGACACTAACGTGGCATACGTCGTGGGTTGTTGGTATTGGCCGAAACCGGAGCACGTGACCTGTAAACTTAAATTCGATTGGTACTCGTTTTAGAAAACCTTTTTCAAGTGCTTGCCTTGATAGGTAATGAGGTTAGAACAAAAATGTCAACTCAAAACAGCTGTTTTTGTAATTTATTTTGTTGTTTCTCTTGATAATCACAACAAACAGAAATAATTAATTTAAAATGAGTTTAAATCTTCACGCAATTCCAGTGTTTGCCTTTCCCACATCTCTAAAATTCTATTTAGGCACAAAAAGTAGCCACACTCAAGTGTTGACCCTATACAGCCCATACGATTTTCCTATCAAGTACAAAGGTGAGTCATTTTTGGGGATTAATTAGTTTTGTAGAACACGTAATTGTTTTTTAGTACATTGTCAGTCGTCAGCTTGGGAAAAATATATCGTCCCTAATCCGGAAGGCACGATTCCGGGACAAAGCAGCGTAGATTTAGTAATAACGCACAAACAAGCCATCCCATCCAATTGCAATGTTTTGGATAAGATTAAAATTGTTATGCATGATCATGTAACTGGCCAAGTATGGTTTATGTTTAGCTAAATATTATTATAACAATGAGTGGAAAATCGTAGGTCGTAGTAGTAAATTGATTTTAATTTTGCAGATAATAGGTAAAAAGACAATAGAGTCTATTCTCTTGGCAGGAGAAAAAGATAGTAGACACCAAAACGATGACGATTATGAATTTCACAGCCATCATACAGGATCAACTAGTCATTCAACTCATGGTGTTCAGACACAAAGGTGAGTTTGAGTCACACTAATGTATTAAAACTATAGATGGATGAACAGCCCTAATTTTTTCATGTGCTATTCTATTCTACTTACCTATTAAAATAAAGAGTAGTGGAAAGTGCTACTGCTAATGGAGTAGGTTTTAACTTATGCAGCATCCCTTATTGGACATGCAATATTCAAATTCAAAAGTAGCTTTACTTATACTAATATTAAAATTGATATTTAAAATTCACTTGTTTAAAATTTAAAATGGACATTTACAAAGAGCATGAACAAATAATAACTTTTACATGAGAATATCACAATCTTCTACATAAAAATCACAAGCAATCACAATATAGAAATAGGAATAAACTCTGCCGCCTTAGTCACCCCGCAGAAAGTCAGTGAAATTGTAAAATCCTTGCCTATGTAAGTGATTTTTATGGTTTTTAAAAAGGTCTTGTCATTTAATGTTTGCACATTCCTAGGCAGTACATTATAAAATAGAGGTCCATAATAATTCACCCCGTATCAGCTATGACTTGAATGAAATCTCCGAATGTTTATATCTGAGTTCTGCCTGGTATTATAATCATGGATTTCATATTTCATTGTTATGTGTATTTGCTACAAACACTTCCGCAACATTGTCCCTATAACCCATTCTAAACATTACACGCAGAACCCTCCGCTGCAATTTGAAAATTCGATCTGCATGGGAAGAATGGCCCCATGCAAAGATTCCATATCTGCAGCGTGAAAGAAAAATTAAATAGTAAGCTGTCAAGATTGATTTTCTAGGTAACTCATCCCTTAATGATCTTATAACAAAAGTGTTTTTCGATAATTTTGCAGCCAGAAAGTCCACATGATGCTCCCTTGATAATATAGGATTCACATAAAAGCCTAGGAATTTTGAACTTTCCTGTCATTGGCAGGATTTCTTGTGACTAAATCATATGGTTTTGGTTTTATTTTCGTTTAAACTGAAACCATTTTTACCAAACCACCTTGATGCTGACAATTTAACGCTATTAATTTTTTCATTCCAATTCAACATCTGTATCATTAATAAGAATTGTGGTGTCATCTGCAAAGAGTACAGTATCAGAACCCGGATTTACACTGAGATTATTTATATAAATCGAAAACAGTATGGGTCCGAGCACTGACCCCTGAGGGACTCCACAGGTGATTTCTTCAATATCTGTGTTATTGTTATTCATTGATACAAACTGTTTTCTGTTTCCTAAGTAGGACTTTATCAGCCTGACACTATTTTCATCAAAATTGCTGTATTTTAACTTGGAAATGAAGAGACTGTGGGATACACAATCAAATGCCTTTGTGAGATCACAGAAGACTGCACCCACAATCTCCTCATTCTCAGTGCCCTCTATAATTTTATTTATTAAATAAATCAGAGCGTCTACTGTGGATTTTTTGCTCTAAATCCAAACTGGCTAAAGTGAAACAGATTATTTGTTTCAAAGTATTGTACAATTTGAGTTTTCAATACTATTTCAAAGACCTTTGCTATATCTGAAAAGGTGTCCTGAGCTATGCAATCATTTATGAGGTTTGTGAGAGGGTACAAAATTTCCTTATTATATCCCTAACTTCATTGTAGCTGACAGGTTTAAAGCCAAGTGGCGTCAGTTATAGACATGTTTACCAACTCTTCAGTGAGAAGGCTTTTGCTTTCTAATTCTGCTCTAACCCTACTACCCACATTAACATAAAAGCCATTTATATCATTATTAAGTTCAAATCGCATGGCAATTTATCAGTTTTTAAAGGTCGTTTTGTGTTTATTAAATCCCAACAGGTTTTTATTGGGTTTGCACTATTTTCAATGGCCCTTTTATTATGTTCCATCTTAGCCCTCCTTACCGTATTTCTATAATTAGTTTTATATTCATTTTTCACCAATAGTATGGGGTTTGATTGAAAATTACGACAAAGCTCATTTAGAAGCCTAAAATGGTCTCTCATTTTTTTAATTTCATCATTAAACCATGATTTTTTCTGTTTATTTTGAACAATTTTTAATGGAAAACTAGCTTTAGAATTTTCTGGGAGAATAATCAGTAGCTGATCAAAAAAAGAAGCCCAGGACTTACCTGGTTATGTTTTAAAAAACCACACTTTATTTTAGAAATGCCTTTATGAAATTCTAACATACCCTTTTGAGTAATGGGTCTGGTATAAGTTGGCATAAGGGTATTTTTGACCTATGTAAAGTTGGCACCCGAAAATCAAGCACACCTGATTTTCTCAGGAGTTCTGAGTACTTTTAGGATAGTTCTATAGTTCTGAGAGGGGTGCAACAATAGTTCTCATGCCTAAGTATTTTTTTTTTTTAAAACAAAAAAAGGGGTGCTAACTTCGCGCCGCACCCCTTTTTGATAGTGCAACAGTTCTCGAGTGATTTTTCGGTTCTAAGGGTATAGTTCTAGAGTTCCTGATAGAAATTATGAATAGTTCTGCAAAAATAAAGCTAATATAACGGAAAAAGTTTTCAGGCGCGCAGGTCGCGCGGCGCGCCCCAGCCGTATTGCGGGACATAGCATCCCGGTACATCAGACATTACGCGATACATTTGAAGGCTCGTTGAGATGTATGGAGGCTGCTGGGGTCAGAACTATGGGTTAGCACTCCATAGTTCTGGTGTCTACTATTACTCTACTATGGATAAATTTCAAAATTAACTGGGGTGCTGTGAAATACACCGGGTTTCCACGCGCATCCACGCTAAATTAGCATACTGGAGGCTGCTGGGGCCAGAACTATGGGTTATTTCTGCAGCACTCCATAGTTCTGGTGTGTACTATTAATCTACTATGGATAAATTTCAAAATTAACTGGGGTGCTGTGAAATACACAGCGTTTCCACGCGCATCCACGCTAAATTGGCATACTGGGGGCTGCTGGGGCCAGAACTATGTGTTATTTCTGCAGCACTCCATAGTTCTGGTGTCTACTATTACTCTACTATGGATAAATTTCAAAATTAACTGGGGTGCTGTGAAATACACCGGGTTTCCACGCGCATCCACGCTAAATTAGCATACTGGAGGCTGCTGGGGCCAGAACTATGGGTTATTTCTGCAGCACTCCATAGTTCTGGTGTCTACTATTACTCTACTATGGATAAATTTCAAAATTAACTGGGGTGCTGTGAAATACACCGGGTTTCCACGCGCATCCACGCTAAATTAGCATACTGGAGGCTGCTGGGGCCAGAACTATGGGTTATTTCTGCAGCACTCCATAGTTCTGGTGTCTACTATTACTCTACTATGGATACATTTCAAAATTAACTGGGGTGCTGTGAAATACACCGCGTTTCCACGCGCATCCACGCTAAATTAGCATACTGGAGGCTGCTGGGGCCAGAACTATGTGTTATTTCTGCAGCACTCCATAGTTCTGGTGTCTACTATTAATCTACTATGGATAAATTTCAAAATTAACTGGGGTGCTGTGAAATACACAGCGTTTCCACGCGCATCCACGCTAAATTGGCATACTGGAGGCTGCTGGGGCCAGAACTATGTGTTATTTCTGCAGCACTCCATAGTTCTGGTGTCTACTATTAATCTACTATGGATAAATTTCAAAATTAACTGGGGTGCTGTGAAATACACCGCGTTTCCACGCGCATCCACGCTAAATTAGCATACTGGAGGCTGCTGGGGCCAGAACTATGGGTTATTTCTGCAGCACTCCATAGTTCTGGTGTCTACTATTAATCTACTATGGATAAATTTCAAAATTAACTGGGGTGCTGTGAAATACACCGGGTTTCCACGCGCATCCACGCTAAATTAGCATACTGGAGGCTGCTGGGGTCAGAACTATGGGTTATTTCTGCAGCACTCCATAGTTCTGGTGTCTACTATTAATCTACTATGGATAAATTTCAAAATTAACTGGGATGCTGTGAAATACACAGCGTTTCCACGCGCATCCACGCTAAATTGGCATACTGGAGGCTGCTGGGGCCAGAACTATGTGTTATTTCTGCAGCACTCCATAGTTCTGGTGTCTACTATTAATCTACTATGGATAAATTTCAAAATTAACTGGGGTGCTGTGAAATACACCGCGTTTCCACGCGCATCCACGCTAAATTAGCAAGCTGGAGGCTGCTGGGGCCAGAACTATGGGTTATTTCTGCAGCACTCCATAGTTCTGGTGTCTACTATTACTCTACTATGGATAAATTTCAAAATTAACTGGGGTGCTGTGAAATACACCGGGTTTCCACGCGCATCCACGCTAAATTAGCATACTGGAGGCTGCTGGGGCCAGAACTATGGGTTATTTCTGCAGCACTCCATAGTTCTGGTGTCTACTATTACTCTACTATGGATAAATTTCAAAATTAACTGAGGTGCTGTGAAATACACCGGGTTTCCACGCGCATCCACGCTAAATTAGCATACTGGAGGCTGCTGGGGCCAGAACTATGTGTTATTTCTGCAGCACTCCATAGTTCTGGTGTCTACTATTAATCTACTATGGATAAATTTCAAAATTAACTGGGGGTGCTGTGAAATACACCGGGTTTCCACGCGCATCCACGATAAATTAGCATACTGGAGGCTGCTGGGGCCAGAACTATGTGTTATTTCTGCAGCACTCCATAGTTCTGGTGTCTACTATTACTCTACTATGGATAAATTTCAAAATTAACTGGGGTGCTGTGAAATAAACAGCGTTTCCACGCGCATCCACGCTAAATTGGCATACTGGGGGCTGCTGGGGCCAGAACTATGTGTTATTTCTGCAGCACTCCATAGTTCTGGTGTCTACTATTACTCTACTATGGATAAATTTCAAAATTAACTGGGGTGCTGTGAAATACACCGGATTTCCACGCGCATCCACGCTAAATTAGCATACTGGAGGCTGCTGGGGCCAGAACTATGTGTTATTTCTGCAGCACTCCATAGTTCTGGTGTCTACTATTAATCTACTATGGATAAATTTCAAAATTAACTGGGGTGCTGTGAAAT